TCTCTCTCCCTCTCCCTGTGTATTGGTCAGGATGTAGGATGTAAAAAGCTCTCTGCTACTGCTCCTATGTCATGCTTGTCTGCTTCCCAACATGATGTTCATGGTCTCACCTTATAAAGCTGTAAGCAAGCCATCAATTAAATAAATGCTCTTTTTCATAATAGTTACCTTGGTCATGGTGTCTCTTCACACGAATAAAACCAAGGCAATATTCTAACATTCCAAAGTGCCAGTGGTATATATTTTATTTTAGAAATTTCAACTGTTAAATCTTGGATAATTTCTGTATGTATGAGTGTGCATATATATCTTTTTTCATAATCAAATACTTACTTAGGGTCATTTCATTCATATTTTCACATTATCAGTCACTGATAATAATTTATCCTAGCCAAATTTTTAATGCTTTATTTCTTCCTACTAATCTCATCTGAATTCTTCAAAGTTGTTAGCGAGAACTGTGATAGCTTTTACATATCCTTCATATTTTATCCTCTTGTTATTTTGTCTGATGTTATAATTCCTTTTGGTGTTTGTAGGCTTCATCTCTTTTCTGCAGAAAATATTTTAACTTCACATAATTAAGATTTTATATTCATAGATACTGTAAGTGACAGCATATTCTTCTGTTTCTTTTTGCCTGGTACATTTGGATTTGTGTGTTGTCTATTCACCCTCTTGTAGATGAGTGCACTTGAGTATATAGGTATGAATGTGTGTGTGCGTGTGTGTGTGTGTGTGTGTGTGTGTGTGTGTACACATGCATGTGCTTGTGGCTGTCTTCCTTAATCATTTTCCACCTTGTCTAGTTATTGTTAATCACTCTATAATATTTACGGTTTTGTGTTAGGCTGGCTGTGAAGTGAGCTCCAGTGATTCACCCATCTCTGACCCTGCCAGTGCTGGAGTTACAAACATTTTGCCACCATGTTGACTTTTACATGTGCTCTGGGGATCTGACTTCAGGTCCTCATACCTGCATGCTTGACATTCTATTAACCAAACCATCACTCTAGCTCCTTTTACGGTGGTCTCTGTTCAGGAAATTATTAAGACTTTATTCATCAATAAAATATAGGTGGCAATAATAATGATTGATTCACAGCATCAGTGCAACTTCATGAAATCAGTATTTAAATAGCCCAGTGATTGCTATTAAAAAGGAAACAAAAGATTTGAGTGTCTTAAATAGGTTTCTCTCTAACTTTTATTTAGCATGCGTCAGCTAAACTGGTTTATAGAGTTGATTAAATTGAAAGCTCACTCGGTATGGGAAAGGACTTAGTGATGAGAAACGAATCACCGGGGCACTCAGAAGCGACAATCCCAGGGGGAGTAGCAAGTGAACGCCCCATACTTACGAAGCTGCCCAAGTCGAGCCTTTTCTTTTTTTCCAAACAAGCGCCCGATTGAAGACTTGATTCCTTTCTTCTTGGGGGCTTTGTGAAGAGAGTCCTGGCTGCTATTGGCACTGCCAAGGCCAAGGCTTTCTGGCTCAAGGGAGGCTGATAAACTGCTGCAAAACACAATAGAGCAGAAATGGCTCATTTTGATGCACTATCCACAAAGTACACAAGGCTTCTTTCCTTTATGAGTGACAAAAAGGAGGAATAAGTAGATTTTGAATGATTTCCCCCCTTTCCCCTGATCTTCCTCTAAGTTATTGAAATGTTTCTCCCTTGTTTCGTTGGCTTTCCAAAATTTCCGTAGAAAAACCCATCATTTTGTCCCAAACAACTCTTTTCCCTTTTATTCCTGTACACTGTCAAATTAATCACCCACCTTAGCCCTATTTAATAACTGTATGTTTAATATCTTTTTTATTGTGCATTTGGTCCATTATTTTTTTCAGAGTGTTTTGTTCTTCTTCTAACTTTAAAGGGGATGAACCATGGCAATCTGTTAATTGTGAAACTGAAGCTGCTAACTTAACTTTTATCTTCATGGGGGTTCCTTTATCCATCTTTCTTTCTCTATCACAAACTTGAGACAAATTAATTATAAATGACATCTTACTGAGATCTAGATGCAATCCATTACAAATGCTCATCACTGTCTTCCTGATATATGGCTATCAATAAAATACTATTTTAGATGCACAATAAACTGAAATGACTTCCAAATAGTTGATCAATTCTGAGTTCCGATCAATATGTCTGATACTCCCTTAAAAAGAGGAGTTCACCAAATACTGGTATAACATTGTAGAGTTTGCTGCACTATACAGTTTTTAAACATTACGTACTCATCCAATATAATCTGATTTCTACACTCTAACCTCCATAAATATAATCTTCTGCTCTTGAGGAATAAAGAAGTACACATTTCAAAAGTAGTAATTGAAACCCATCAAATCGATAGAAATGCCTGTCTGCACAGACGTCCCACTTTTCAAAACCACATAGCATGAGGCTACTCATTAGATGTGTTGATCTTTGAGTCATTCTGCGCATGTTGAGAACTGATACTATTATTGATAACCAGTAAGAAGTCTGTGTGCAAGATGTATATGGAATGTTGACCTATATTCATGCTGTTGACTATAGAGAGCAATTTGAAAGTTTTTGCCATTTGGATAGGACATTATGAAGAGTCTTATGGAGTATCAGCTTCCTCAACTTTTTTAAAAATATTTTTGTCAGTGTTCATTTTAATGCTATGGCCTTCTTATCTGAGGATTTAGAATCCTCTCAGTAGCACAGATATGCAACGAAAGAGGCCCAGGACTAGATTTTTCAGACCTTAATTTCTATTACAATACACTCTACATTTATACTCTTGTCCTAGAAATCCTATAATTACCTACAATAGTCATAAATTTAATAGGAAATGTCTTCTAAATACAGAAGAGTAATTTGCACATTGACTGGACAAAAAAAAAACCAAAGATTATAACTGTGTTATCTTGTTAATTTTAAAAGTAAAATTTTGATACATTATTGAAAAATTTCACAAGAGATATGGAAAAAAGGAAAGCAGTGAAAGAGCGTGCTGGAGAATTATATTTCAAATCAAATTATGTACATATTAATTTTATTTTTAATTACATGTATATGTATGAACATCTCTGGGTGAGTCCTGTGCACATGAGCGTAGGTGCCTGCAGAAGCCAGTAGAGGGCGTTGGATCCCTTGGAGGCCGAGTTATAGGCGTGGAGGAGCTGCCTGAAGTAGGTGCTGAGAAGCAATCTCTCTGGTCCTCTACCGAAGCAGTTAGCACTCAACGATTGAGACTTCTCTTGAGTCTTATTTTCTATAAGTAACCTAACAGTTTATTTGACAGCAGTGATGGAAGAGGAAGAATTTGGGGAAGAAAATGTTTAATGCGCACCCTGCTTGAGTCTTACCTCCTGGCGTCATTGTGGTAGGAAGAAGGGAGCGTGTGAGTCATTCTGATGGCTCTGGGTGTTGGTGGAGGAGAAGTTTCACATTTGATTGTTGCCTTATCCTCCCGTCCATCCTCTTCCACCACAGCAATCTGGAAACAGGAGCAGTGCAATCAATTAGCTCATTATAGTTGCAGCTGAAACTGTGTCAAAGGAAGCATCACTAAGGTAAGGATACTAGAAAAATTGTAACACATATATGTCTTACACAGGCAAGCTGTTATTATTAAGGATGTGATTTTCATATCTATTTAAGAGCAAAAATAATATATCTTTACAAAAATGAGCTAAAGACATAAAATATGGTTTAATGATGGGAGCCATAAGCTTAAGCGACCCTTGACACACATGCTGCCATATTTGGGTTTCTCTCCTCTTTTCTTAGATCTAGGCCTTGCTTAACTCTCCATAGCACCAGAACCTCTTCCCACAGAAACAGAACCTCTTCTCAGATATCAGGTGAATGAGCTGCAGTTAGGCAATTAGGCAGTTAGACAAGGGTAGATAGATAACCTTCAGAGCAACATTTCCTCCTGGCTGAACAGCCCATAATTAAGTCCCTTCCTGCTTGCAACCCCCATTACTAAGTCCCTTCCTGCTTGCAACCCCCATTACTAAGTCCCTTCCTGCTTGCAACCCCCATTACTCAGTCCCTTCCTGCTTGCAACCCCCATAATTAAGTCCCTTCCTGCTCTCAACCCCCTTTGCCTACCTATATATGCCTTGAGTGTAAAATAAAATTTTGGAGCTTGATCAGACATCCTGTCTTTCTCTCATTCTTTGTGTCTCTTGTCCCTCGCATTTGCCGGCCCTCCCTTTAGGTCCTTGTTGAAGACCCCGCTGGCCAGGGCAGTTTAAGAGTAAAAATGCCATATATCAATAAAAAGCTATTCTCACCTTAGATGGATACACACATTTTTATTTTCAGGACTGCAAACTGAACCCAGCACCTCTCACATTAGGCAAGCCTGCCTCTGAGCCACCTTGGCAGTCCCTGTAAATATGTTCTTTATGGGAGACCCCAAACAAATTTCATTGAGGAAAAGATGGTATGCCTAGTAAGGCGTGACAAAGATACCCTTAAGCAGGTGTGTCAAAAAAAGGGGAGGACAACTTGGTAAGATATGATTTATCAAAGTACTTTAAATTAGTCAATATAATGAAATTTATACCAAGCATGTTTAAAATGTGCAGTGGGTTATAAGAAAAATATTTTTTCCCAGTGAGAAAAATGAAAGGTAAGAACATAATTCCTAAAAATTGTTCAATGCCACTCTGAGTAATGAGAAATTTTAAAAACATGTAAAAAACAAAAATCCAGAAAAGATGAGAGGCATGTTAGTAAAGAACAACGTTGTTCAGAATCCTGGAAAACTACTCCAAAAAAATCAGAGAAAGAAACAACAATGATGATTTTAAAAAAACTTGGCAAAAATCAGTGTTATCATTACATAACACAACATATATAGATCAAAGTTATGGAAAAATTGCTATGAATATATGATTGTGGAAATTCACATGAGAGGTTCTTAGGTAGCAACAGCATACACTTAAAGCTGTATTATACAGAACTACCTTACTTGTTTCTGTATCGAGTACACTGTGTATAGAGGTTGTTATATTTGATGAAGACTTGAAACTTAATGAAGTTTATTTTTAATCAATCCTTTCTCTCCTTGGCTTATATTATTACTCTTACAGTTCAGGGAGAGCCCTGAATATAATTCCTTCCCTCAATTCAGCCTCAGAGTCCTACCTGAAGAGTCTTTTTAATAACTGTTTTCAGCCTGGCTCCAGTGTGATGAGAAATTCAAAGATTTCTAAACCTGCATTTACTCTAAACTCTTTGAGAATAGTTCACACTCTGTACTAACTTATTAATAGTTTTACAGTTTTTTTACATGATCTGACCATAAGTCTTTTCTACAAATGTCCTTGGTAAGAGGAGTCATTTCTGCGTCACAATTTTCTTCCTGAAACATTGTCATATAAAGTACACCACCATGCGCCATCCATCTACAACCTTTCCAGTTTCAGCTCTCTAAAACACAAGACACAAACAGATCCTGGGCCTTGCGTTAGAAGGACTTTATAATCAGTTAATAAAATAAATATAATAATGCTTCTCTTAAAGCATCCCCCTGTTATGCAAATGAAGCCAAATATGTAACTATTTGCCCTGCCACACAGCAGGTTCTTCACCAGCGATTCTATCTCATGGCGTCTGTTGCAGTCACCACTTTTCCATGTGAAATCTTTCTGCCTGTCTTTTTTTTGGTAATAAGATGAAATTACTAAAACGTCATTTACTTAGATTTCTTTCTAAATTAATAATCGTAAGCCGGGCGGTGGTGGCACACACCTTTAATCCCAGCACTCGGGAGGCAGAAGCAGACAGATCTCTGTGAATTTGAGGCCAGCCTGGTCTACAGAGCGAGATCCAGGACTGGCACCAAAACTACACGGACAAACCCTGTCTTGAAAAACCGAAAAAGAAAACAGGATAGTTTGATGCTGATGATTGACATTTTTGGTGGATCTCTGGCCCTGTCTCGAAAAATCAAAATAATAATAATGATAATAATAATAATGATAATGATAATAATTGTATTAGATACTTTATAGCAGGTGGAGAAAGTTAAAAGTTGATGAACTATATAAGGTAAATTTGATCACTTAGAGTCAATTGTTGAGTGTTAAGTTGACACTATAGTCATATATGTGTCCTAGATCTATATATCTATACACATATATCACAGATGTTCATATGTACCATGTAATTATATATAAATATTTGTTCCTATAGATAGGTCATAACTAAGTAAACAGAAAATAAATTTCTATCAATTTAATGTATAATCAATATCAATGTAGTTGTAACATAGTTTTCCTTGAGGAAATAAAGATATTTTCTGAATTCGTATATTAGAGATTTATTTATTTTTATTTCATGTATGTGACCATTTTCTCTGGATATATGAATATGTGCAGGAGCCTGCAGAGGCTAGAAGAGGTTATTAAATCCTCTTGAAATGGAGTTATGGGTGTTTTGAGCCACCATATAAGTGCTGAAAACCAAACTCCAGTCTTTAAGAGCATCAGGTGTTCTCAATGGGTGAGCTATCTCCACAGCCCCCGACCTTCTCATCTGGAAGACACTGTAAGTCAGAGTGCCTGCTGTGACTGAAATCTTTCCCATTTGACAGCCAATGACTGAATGCTTTGCTCTTCTCATTTATCAAATAAGATGGAACTTGTTGACTCTGAATTGAGTCCATTGTCTCTCACATTGCATTCATGTTAGATTGAGGGTCTTGATTTTGTCTCATAATCAAGAAAATGGTCAATGTTTTCAGTCAACTTGTTTTTTCTATATAAATTCACTCACTCATCCATTCGTTCTCTCTCTCTCCCCTCCCGCCCCGTGTGTGTGTGTATGTGTGTGTATGTGTGTGTGTGTGTGTGTGTGTGTGTGTGTGTGTGTGGTCTTGGGTGTACCACGGTGTGCATGTGAGCATCAAATGACAACTTGCATGAATTTATTCTTTGTTCTCTCCTTCTTCCTTGTGAGTTCTGGTGTCTTCAGCTTTAGTAGTAAATACCTATTCTTTCTGGGCTTCTAGTTGTGCTCCTGACATCTGGAGACTGTTTTCTTTCAAGGCTAACTAATATGTAGAGACAGTAAACTCCTCTGTAAGTAATCTTATATGAAAACCGATCAACTCGGAGATTCTGCTGGAAATCATTGTCCTTGGCAGATGTCTATTCTCCTGTTGTAGTGATATTCAGCCTCAATTTGCCCAGGGCCATACGTTAGACACCTCATGCCACCGGATCTCATTCTATCAATCCTAAACTTGCCTAACCTGTCTTTTCTTCATTCGCTGTAAGAGACCTCAAAATGACTCCTAGCAGCTACGTTTTGTCTTGCTCATGCCTCTTGGCTACCCTCTGCTTTCTCAGGGAATTTTCCCTCTTCTTTTCAATCTGGTAAAGAACTGTTTCATTTTCCTTGATATCCGTAGCAAGATCTTCTGGCTCATCATCACTGAGTAATAATAAATCTGACATTAAAAGCAATGCATGGTGAAAAATACTGAAAACAGCCAGCGCTGTTCTAATATTGATCTTATGATATCACACTCTGCCAAGTTGACGATATAAGTTAATTCTCATAATGGAATCTTTGCCTAGAAACCAGAAACAATAATGTTTTTAAAATATTTGCTCTTATGATCATATGTTAAAACTCAGTAACACATAAACGCATCAATATTTATATGGTATGTTAATAAAACAATTTTGACAATAGTATTTTAGCTGCTTTATAGCAAAAAAAGATACTCAAGTGATAAACATGTAGAAGTTATTTACAGTACCTTTCTCCGATGTTTCCTTAGATCACTTGGCTGAAATGGGCAGTAATAAAAGAAACATAAAAAATTACTAATTAATGATTACCATTTGATAATATTACAGTTTGGCTATTATCTATAACTTGGCTATCATTTTTCTTCTTTCCATTCTTTCCTGAATATATACCATTAATCATCCTAATAATGAATATATAATATTCAAACAATTTCCAAAAAGATTATTTTTCCTCCAACATTGTATGTAGGTTAAAGAACATCTAACTAAAGATCTTTATAAAAACAGTGAGGTTGGTTAATAGAGTTTTACTGAGTAGTAAAGACTTTCTGGATTACATTTATTACTTTTCTGGCATGGATATTAATATTGCTGTTTTCTTTTCAAGGATTGTCTAATGCACTAAAATCTCACACCTAAATTATCATAAATATTGTATTATTATGAGGTTGATAGAATATAAGAAGCAGATAAAAGGAAGTAGCAGGGAGTTGGGAAAAGAGAGCAGAGGAAAGGGTGATGAAGGAAATAACTAGCACAAGGATGTTCGAAGACATTATGTCAAAACATAGAATTCCATAAGTTACTGAAATATGTATACATATTCCTATGAATAGTTTACAGATGAGATAATACTCTTCCTTGAAGCCATAAGCTACCAAGTAAAACTCATTGCAAGGTATGGGATACCTCCTTTTGAGTTGTTGGTTGGTGATGTCCTGGAGACATCCAGAAGTATACAGATCATTGCCATTGCTGTTCTCTGAAAACCAGAACTTGATGATAAGAGCCTATTGCTCAAAACACCACACATTTTGGTCACAAGACTTGGAGTAATCAGGTTGGTACTAACAGGCAGTTTCCTCCCTGCTGTCTAGCTGAGTATAAGAAAGTGCTGTTTACCTTGCTGTAAGGCAGTCTTACCCATTTGAGAACTCTGTGAGCTACAATAATGATGGGATGGTAGGGTATGTCTAATTATACAATAATGACACAATGTTATAGGGGTCATCAACCACTTTTGGATTCTGTTCAGGCCTGCTGAGCAGGATGAAATGCATGCCTGGTACTGTAACACTGGCCAAGAAGCTGTGGTTGGACCCTGGGGTAAACCCACTACTATTATTCTGGTAGGTAAACACAGTATTATACTACCTCCCAATTCTGTATCTCTATATTCATAGATTGCCACAACTCTCAGACATAGCAGAGATTTTTCTTTGTTCACCAGATGGTTGGTAATGCAGAAACTCACAAGTGGCCAATATACAGAGAGCAAATGTCAGGGGAATGCTCAGCCACAAAGGTGACATCTATATCATCTCTCCCACAAGACTCTGGGGCTATAGAGGAAGAGGTAGCTAAAAGATGAAAAAAGCCTGGCTGGGGTTGGGGAGAGCTGGAGCAAAACTGTCTTCTGGATATGCAAAGATTGCTGTACTCATGAGTTTGGTTGCCTGCAAAAGACTTGCACAAGATTAAGCCAAAAGGAGTGGATCATGAGCTATCACTCCAGAGGAGCAATGGACAGTAATGCCTTTGGGGGAGTGTGAACCAGTTTTCTAAAGAGTGTTGTCCTTGTAGGTCAAACACAGTCCAATGGATGACACCATTTCTGTGGATATATGGGCATCACAAATGGGTTTTGGCAGGTTGTTACAAAAAAAGAAAGATAAAAGTTGGCAGGGGGTTTTGGAGGAGTAGGTTAGGGAATATTTGAGGAGTCAAAATGATCAAAATATATTGTATGAAATTCTTAAAAATTGATAAAATATTTGTCAATAATTATAATATCAATATAATATGGGCATTAAGAATATATTTTAAAGAGAAAACACTTTGCCATAAAAATATAAGTAAATAAGAACATCACAGATATTGCTAAAGTACAATTGATGTAAACACTACTTAAATTGTGCTCTTTGTCCCAAGATTCTTACTGCAGCATTGGAAATAACCTTGTACATCCCTATTACATTTCAAGCTAAGGCTGAGATGTCAATAGTTTTAGTTACTAAGATTAGAGGAATGTTCTGTAGATTTTCTAATAAGCAGAGTATGATGTGTGTAAGTGCATTTAATGAGTATAACTCAATGCATCGACCAAAACTTAGAGCTGCATTGTGTTGAGATGAATTCTGATTAGTTAATTGTTTTTCTGATTGGTCAGCTTTTTATGTATTTTAAAAATATTTTAGATATCAAGTCTCCTATGAGCACAAAGGAAGACTGAAATAATTGAAAGAGGCAATGTTTTAGTTCCTTTATTTTATGTAGACTTCGTTGCTTTAGACATTTTCTAACTATAAAATTTGAATATAAGCAATGTTCCAAATCCATAGATAGTTTTGTTTCAGTTCCCAATCAAAATAATATCTAAACTCTCCATATAAAGTAAGTTTCATGATGGTGAACTAAAACCTTTGAGCATACAATAAAATTTCATTTACTTATATGACTGTTTTTCCTATGGTGAGAAATATGTATGTATCTCTATACACATGCAAATTGGACTCAGAATCATACATGTATTTATATAAATTAACTATAAATTAAAATATTTCAAAATTATTAAATTATTGTACATTATTTAAGAACAATTACTGTTAAATTTAGACATTGAAATGAACTTCTATTCAGATGGGGGTTCATACACACATATTCAAGGGCAGTATATAATTTCATAGTCAATTCGAGGTCTTCTGGCCATAAATGCTACATATAATTCAGATGAATCTATGGTATCATTAATTTTTCTCCATTTTGTTATAACTAGGTAGATTTTACAGTATGTCATCTATTTCTAGTTAAATTAGTTTCTGTCACTAAACTGTTCTATTTTAGTTGGAATTTTATAATTTTAATCTTCATCAAAGAAACGGTATTCTACCTCATTTTTGCAAAGTTTTTAATTTATTCAACTAATATCAAGAACAAAACATTATATAATTTTGTAGTTAAGCAAATTTTAGGAAAACTCAGCTCCATTTTAGCAAAGGCAGTTTATCCCTGCTTTCAAAGCGTTAGTTATCTCTTCCCTTAAACGGAGAAAGTGTTCTCTTAGCTCATGCTGTGATGGGCAGTAAACGACCACACCTTGTAGAATGCAGGAGTCAGTCCAGTGAAATTGATGAGAGGCTTTTTTAAAATATTACTTTTAATATGTGGCCTGAATCCTTCCAGTATTTTCTAGTGCACTTCCTGACTTAAATATCCAAATGTAACAATAAATGAAAAAAAATCAAAAAGGAAATGTGAAAGTGTTTATATGAAATATTAAAAGAAACATTGAATAAGTGATGCCGCTGTTTTGGCAGCTTTTCTAGAAATTATATACTGCAAAACTGTACATTTTTATCTCTGTTTATTACAGTACATAATTGTTGCTATTAGCTGTATTTTTCAAAGGTACTGATGTATTCCTCGTCTGCTAAAAGACACTTGGTGGTTTTAGTCACTCAAATTTCTGATGTGTATTTAGACTTCTGCCTTCCGAGTGACTTTGAGATAGTTTTCTCACAGTTAAGGGCTACTGTTCCCTCAATCCATCATGTGATTAATGAATGATGGTCACTAGTAACTACCACAAACGGCTGTAGTGGTAAACAAATTTACAAGTTATTTACATGTGTAAAGAGACAATAAAAAGCACAGAAAACCAGATGAGAGGAAATATTCTGTAGCTAAAGAACGAGTAACAACAAGTCAAGTTGCTCTGGATACGTAATCATTACCAGAGTCATGACTCCCATGCGGTCCATTTCCCTAGCAGGGCTTCTTGGCGTGAGCTTTGGCGTTGAGTGTCCACTAGGGGGAGAAGAGCTGGCCAACGATGAAGCTGTAACAGAGGCAGTGATGGAGGTACCAGGATGGACCCTTGCCAAATTCAGGCCTTCCAAGCTTACGCTAGCCACTCTATTCTCGATTTCTTCGGCACGCAGTTCTGTAGATTCCTTCTCTTCTTGAATTAGCCTGGAAGATAGAATTAATTTTTGTTTCCATTATGAGATTGCTAGTGGCAAGTGGATTTCTCCTAATAAATTACTCATATAAATATTGTGAAATTTTGTTTCAAATATAGCATTTCCGTTTCCTTTTGCGGTTGTAAAACTTTAAACTGCATGGAGTTACTGGCTATATTGAAAGACATGTTTTTATTTTTCCTTTAAAATTATTATGGTGTATTCTTGGAATTTGAAGTTTGACATCTTTAGTTGCACAATGAAAATACCTACATCAACGATCTCTTGCATATATAATGTGCAATTATAAAATATTTTCAATTGTACTATGAAATAATTCATAATTGAAACACAACCTTCTATATGTTTCATTGGCTATGAATTAAAAAACAAACAAACAAAACAATAATGAAGCCAGGCACGGTGGTATATGCCTATAATCCCATTTCTTAGGAGACAGAAAGATGTGGTATAATAATGAGGTCAAAGCCAACCTGCATGGCAAAAGGAGTTTCAGGAGGTCCCAAATGTAGATTCTCTCTCTCCATCTCTCTCTCTCTCTCTCTCTCTCTCTCTCTCTCTCTCTCTCACTCACTCTCTCACACACAAATTCAGACATAAAAAGATAGACTATTCAAGCTATGGCATTAATTAAAAATATATCTTCCACATATGTTAAGTCTTTCATATTTAAGGAATGTACATGAATTAGAAAAGTTTTCCATGTATTTCCTAAATATAGGAAGAAATTTTCATTATCAATCTGATTGGCCAAGAACTTCAATATATATGTGTGAAAATTTTAACTTACAGATATAAGTAATAGTAATTCATTTTCCAAAGAAATCCACATAAAACCTAAGTCCAATTTGAAATATATTGGAGTAAAATCTAAAAATTAATTCATTGACTAATCCAATTGTTTATGAACTGAAATACAAATTTGCAGATATTTAACCTTCAGATAGAATGAATATTAATTACTTCTTTGAGATTTATTTTTATTTTATGAGTGTGACTACATCTATGCAGGATGTCCATACTTGGTGCCTGTGGAGGCCAGAAGAGGGTATCAGATCCCCTGGAACTGCAGTTTCAGTTAGCTCTAAACCATTATGTGGGTGCTGGGAATCAAACCAAGGGCCACTGGGAGAACAGTAGATGACCATAGCCAAAGATCCCTAATTAATTTTCAAAAGAAATGTATGTCAAGCTGGGTTTCACTTTGAAATAACGTAGGGCCAAATTGCAAGACAAGTCTCAAGCCCCAATGAATACAGCAGATCAATTTTCAAATATAAAAGCAATCGTCTTTTCATGAGATAGTTACTGAAAGAATTTAATATTTGTTACTAAGAATAGAAGTATCCACATTAGATTATGCCATTATTTAAAGAAATAATTAATTTTCAAATCCCTAGTTCTACCAGGGAAGTACAAATATACTGCTATTAGTATATGCTCTGCAACGGACAGACCTCTCTACCCATAGTACTGAGATCCCAAAGAAGCCTGGATCCATGGGCTGCCACTGTATTTGCAGATGAAAACTTTAGGGAGTCATAAGGGTGAGACCTGAATTTGATAGAGTTAATTACTCTTCTGCTCTCTTTCTTTTGTCTCATTTCTCTCTCTATCTTCCTGCCACTTAGCCTTTCCCACAAGCCGGGAAGAGAGCCGTCACTAGACACTAAACCCAGCCAGAATCTTACCCTTGAATTTCATGTTCTCCTAGACCATGAAGAAATAGAATTTTTTATTTGCTTACACAGCCTGCACCATTTTATATATAGTAGCCCAGGCCAACTAATACATGCTTCATTGATATTAAATGAAAAGAAATTATGCTTTTAAAATGATATTAAACACCAATAAAATTACAAGAAATTAGTATATTTTCCTCTAGTATTAGTATTTTCTGTACATTTCATTGCCTTTTGTGGTAGGTACCATTGTTAATATCATTATTATTTGAAGAAACAGTAGCCCACAAAGGTGATGCAACCACCAGAATACAGGTATCTAAATATGCATTAGAAATGTGAATGATCTAAACCATTAAGTAAGCAACCTTTGACTTACTGCACAGATATTTTCTAAGCCACAAAGAATAATGAAAACATGAAAATTTCAGGTAAATGGTTGAAACGAGAACACATTATATTGAGTGAAATAACCCCAACCCTGAAAGATAAGCAATGCATGTACTTTCTAACTTGTGAATCTTAATTCCAAACCTTTAGATGTGAGTATATAACATGGAGCAACCACAGATACCAGAAAAATGAAGAGGGACACTAAAGGAAATGAGAAGAGTTGTTGGGGAGAGTTACCTGGGAAGAGGGGAGGGAGAGCAACACACAGAGAGGAAGTAAGTTGGAATAATAACACCTAGGATGTTCTGAAATCCATAGGGAATCACTTTATTTTTGCTTAAACGTGTGTGTGTGTGTGTGTGTGTGTGTGTGTGTTAAATTTAAAAGAAGTTAGGCCACTCAGAGTGACAGTGATCCCTCCAAAAGTCATAGACTATGAAAAAAAATTAAAGTTTGGGAAACCCTTCTTTCGAATTGTTGGCCAGGAGCCAACAGAAATTCAAAACAATGTAAGCTTTTGCCAATGTTTTTGCAAACAATTTGGACAGAGTGCTTGAATGAACTGAGCTGGAACTGATCTTGAAGATTCTTCCCTGGTAGCTCCCACAGTCCCAGAATGAGCTACTCAAACTGCCAAGGGAGAAATCAATCAATAGTTCTATCCAGCTGGAACACCTATAAACAACAATGATTAGAAAGTCAAGATATCTCAAGAGGTGTAACAGCCATCTATTTGAACTTAAGATTCTCTCAATAGGAGGGAATTTATGTCTGGTATTGTAAACCTGTTCCCAAAACCAATAGCTAGTGAGAACCTCGACCCTAGAGGACAGCCTGCTATCTACTTTCCTAAAACAGTGTAATGTCTAACTGCATTCTAAGTACATTCCTTAGACACACAGCTAAGTATAGCTCTTTCTCCTCATCAGTGTTGCTTAATGGGGGCCATTACAGAGAGCCACAACTACTCCAAATACAGAGAAAAACTAACTATGGGTTTCACAGACCCAATTGATATATGTACAGTACAACCCCTTCATCTAAGGCTCAGAAAGCATCATGAATGAGAGGAGGAAATATTCTAAGAGCCAGAGAACAAGGATTCTGTAAATGACAGTGAAGTTGCATCAATGAAACCTCAAAAATATGATTCCTTAAATAAGATCCAAAAAATGGCAATACCAATTGAGTCACCAAAGAGTATAGGAGAAATATCACAAGATCCCAATCCTAGATGAAGGGCTACAGGAAACTAATATTTGCTGAGAGAAAGTGATTCAGTGTTCTTCAGGGACTAGTTTTCCAATAAATTATCGAATCCCAACTAGTCATCTCTACACACACACACACACACACACACACACACACACGCACGCACGCACGCACGCACGCATGCACGCACGCACGCATGCATACACATATACATTCATAAACACACACATATTTAAATGAGCCACACTAAATGAACTCATCAGGTTATAGTTATAGATCTGTCTCTCTATATATTCATATATCAAAATTAATAAATAACCTATGAAATTGAGAAGGAGTGGAATTGACAGAGGAAGAGCTGAAGGGAGGAAGGAAAGAGAGGAAATGATATAAATACAGTACTAATATGTAAAATTCTCTAAAATATAAAATTATTCTTTCACATAGTCCTCAACATCATTAGTCTGTATGTTTCCATATATTCTTTGAAGAGAGTGCATCTTGTAAGAAGGCACATTCTCAAACAGCAGGCATGAGGGAGACGGATATTCTGTGGGCCTAACAAGGCACCAGGAGATGCCAAGCCCCACAGGTTGAGAAACGTATTTTAAGCACAAAGGTTTTCTAAGCTCTTGAAACCATCCTATTGATACCTTATTTCTTTGTTGATGGCATCCAATTGTTCTTGAAGCATCATAGCTAGAGTCTGGGCATCGGAATGGCCACTTGGAGAGAGAAGATCCATTGAGCTAAAAATGGTCTCTCTGTCATCATCATCAATATCGGATATTTCAGTGTCACTTTCAAACGGGTGGCTACCTAGGACTCCAATTTGCTGAGTTCTGTTCCATTCATGATCCCCCAGAGATTTCACCTGAGTGACAAGTGAGCAAATCAGTAACTCGATTTAAAACAATGAATTTGAAAACTGATAACCACAGCGGCAACACCAAGACAAGCATGCATGCCTTAACAGTTGCTCGGTCAAATGCAGACCAAGTAGCAATATTTTAATCTAATAGTTCAATAAAATATTGCCCTGATATCTTATGAGATAGTGGCTCTCAATTGTTCCCTTGAATCAATACTTTAGAAGGAGCAGTGATGATAAATTTTCAGGTGATTCATTTTCAATCAGCTTTCAAGGTGGTGATTATTTCAAAGCTCTTGTGTTTGCAACACTTCCCCCTGCCCAGATTTCCAAATATAACAGACTTCCCCTAAACTTAAGCATTGTTATTTCTTATAGTAGTTAGTCATACCTGCACATGAAAAGATGAGCACATAAAAATGAACAGATAGCATAGGGCATAATAATCATCTTCTCAAAATTCACTTAATAGATTTGAACAAAATATTACTTCCAGTATTGAAAAACAACATAATTCCATGTCTCATTAAACTTTTGAAGCAAACATGATAGTTTTAATGGTTTATGTTTTTTTTAGTTAACAAATATTCTTCTGAGAGTTTTGAGTAACCAACAGATCAATTGTTTTGCCAACTGTGTTCTCAATAGACAGGCCCTAAAATTTTATGCTCTAAATATAATTAACTTTACTGCTATGGTCATTCAAAATTAGTTATGTGGGAGAAGAAATTACATTTTGTGGGATATTGAATTAATGACTAAAGGTCTGAAGTAGTATTTGTGCTACTAGTTATTTTGGTACCAAAGAACACAAATTTATTTCTCTCAAAGTAAGAAGAAAAGAACTGAGACTATCTTGTTTTTATTTGTTTGTTTGTATTTTCTGTTTCCCACAAATGTTGGATGCTACTGTGATAGATTAATTTACATGTGACCTATTGATACCAATTATCAACCAAAAGCATTAAGAGCCTGTTAATGAAAAAGAAGAACAATATTTTGAATATGTATAAATGGTTGTCTGAACAAAATATACTTAGGGCACAGAGGAATTGTGCCACTTCTGTATACAGCTGCATTGATTAAACAAAAATCTGACTTAAAAGTTTATTAATTCACTGAATCTCAGAAATAGGCTTGTCTCAAGAAGGCCTGCATAGGGACAGCACCAGCTGACATTTCAACATGGGTTAGGTAGATCCCACAAGGTCCCACCCCTGGATGGAGAGTTCCATGCAAATAGTGGCTGCTGAGAGAGAATCAGTCTTCACTTGGTACAAGCCTTCTGGCAATTTTTCCAATCCCAGGAGGTCAGC